GCCCATGGAAAGCAACGCTTTCCAGGACGCTTTCCTTGGGCCGATGCTTGGGTCGGAGGACGCCTCCGACCTCAGCATCGGCTCATGGAAAGCAACGCTTTCCAGGATGCTTTCCTTGGGCTGATGTTGGGGTCAGAGGACGCCTTCGATCCCAGGAGCAGCCCATTGAACCACCGAGGACGTGGCTGAAAGGAGGCCTCCTTTTAGCCGTGGCCTCGGCAGTTCCTTAGGCTGGTCCTGGGAGCGGAGGGCGCGTATATTCTCCTTATAAGACGCACCAACTTCCCCACCCCCATTTTGGGGAAGAAAAAGTGCATCTTATATGGCGAAAAATACAGTACATGCCATGTGAGTTCATGGAAACATCAGAAATGAACTGCCACATGGAAATGGTTTATGCCAGCAAACAGGAATCTCTGTTTCCTTAATAGTATTTGTTATTACTTTTTCTTGGACCATTTCCTTCTAACTAATGAGACAGCTAGCTACAGTGATGCATACATCTTTCACTGCCTGGCATCTTCATAGAAAACATCAAGAATTTCATGTTAGATAATTGATGGAGATGAAAGTCACTTTGTAACTTTAATGAGAAACATAAGTAATAATTTAGTTATTAAATGTGAGTCAGTTTAATCATTTTCCATGACTCATCAGGAAACAGAGTTAACAATTTTGAAGAACTTATTGAGAGACACACAAGTCATCTTATCTTTGCTGGTTTGACCCTTATATCTATAGCAGTAAGCAAGTGCATTGGAAAGTGGCATTCATTTAGTAGGGTAGAACCACAGATATTGAGCCCCATGGCAATTTAAAATACAATAATACTGCATTTCAGGGTGTTTTTGAAAAAAAAGAATGAAAGAGATTTTACATAAATTTTATTTATGCAAGTATTGTATCAGAGAAATGTAAATTTGTAGCTTGTACATGTAGCACACACATTTTTAACAAGATGATTTAATTTGTTATTCATAATAATCATTTGTCACATTACCAGGTTTGACAGCATCTTTTATATTCCCTAAATATTTCTGCATTTCTTTAAAAAAAACTGTTTCTGTCAAGCAGAAAGGCTATTTAAACCCAGAGGTTGGTAGTGTAAGTCTTTTTGACCACTGCTCCCAAAGATTCTGGGGAAAGTAATCCAAAAAAGCATTAACTCTGGTTAAATTAGACTTTGGAGTCATCCTCGTTGTTGTTGTTGTGTGCCTTCAAGTCATTTCCAACTTATGGCAACCCTAAGACTAAATCCCTAAAAACCCTAAATACCAGAGATTTCTTGGCAAATTTCTTCAGAGAGGGTTCACTATTGCCATCCTCTGAAGCTGAGAGAGTGTGACTTGCCCAGGGTAACCCAGCAGGTTTACATGGCTGAGCCAGGATTCAAACCTTGACCTGTAGAGTCATAGTCCAGTGCTCAAACCACTACACCACACTGACTCCTATACATAAAAGCTTATAATGAAAGGGGCAGATAAAACAGGAAGGATCCAGCGCTGGCTATTTTCATACATCTGTATACTAGAACACTAGAATTTCCTGGTCACTCTTCTCATTGTTCCATCCAGCTTCCTGAAAACCACTCTGACAGATCTGGAGCAGCATCTGCTCTAATCTGAAGCACCATTAAGTCCAAACCAGCAAAGCTGCTGTTTACATAAGGAAGCATCACAGCCACATTCATAGGGCTCTTGGGATCTGAACCAAGATTTATGAAGTGCCTTACCCCAATAGAAATTTTGCAGTCAACTGAAATTATGCAAATGAAGTAAATTAACATGCTTGCATTTTGTGCATAATGAGTACTGCTTTTGCAGGAAGAGAGTTACAAGTAGAGAATAGCAAGGAAAGGCACATGGAAATTGGGGTCAAATGGGTAACATGACAGGCTGTGAGACAGGAATATTAACTTCAGATGAGGGATAGAGAATACCAATGTATCAGCAGCTTCAATTTTATTTTTCTTGAAACATCATCAAATGTTCTCTATTTTCCACATTTATTCCTATAAGCGTATGGTCTGGAAGCCTGAAGATGTTTTTTTTTAAAAAAAAATGAGAGCATCTAGATAGTTCCTTTTTGGGAAAACTTGACTCACTAGATCAAAGCATCATCTAACCAATGAAGATGGGACAAATTCTTAGAAAAATGGTTTCTATGATCCAAGGAGACAAAAATAATTGCTTGCAACATTCCAGCTCCATAATAGTTTTATATTTTTGCTATGATATGATGTATCTATACAATTGTTACTGATGTGTATCTTCAAGTAATTTTTGACTTATGACGATCCTAATGCAAACCTATCATGGGGTTTTCTTGGCAAATTTCTTCAGAGGTTTGCCATTGTCATCCTCTGAGGCTGAGAGAGTATAACTTGTCCAAGGTCACCCAGTGGGTTTACATATCCGAGCTGGGATTAACACCATACAGTATTACAGACTTATTCAAAATGTTCTCTACATTATGGATTTCAGACCGTAATGCCTATATGTTAATTAATTATTTGTCTCTATGTTTGACATAAAAATAAATTTAATACAGAGTTAAACTTTAAAAAAACAAAAATTAAAAATTTTGAGTTCAAAAACTCAAAATGTACCAGATGCTATTTTTCCCCTACCTGCAGAGTGAACAATGATATATACACACAATAAATAGTACAATAATATTATCCTAAGCTTAGGTACTTGAAGAATTTGTGGCAGGAAGAAAACAAGGACTGAAAGACTTTTGGCTACAGGACTCTTTCATTCCTACATACAGCTGCATAGCTAAATTTAGTCCAGAAATAAGTCCTTTACAGCTTCTATTCTGTTCTCCAAATGTAACACTGCCTGCCATTTTCAGTTTGCTAGGACTGTGGTGAGTTGTGTGGTGTTGCCATACCTAATACATTTTCACCTAAGTTTCTTCGCCGCTTAGAAGACAGCTGAATAACCAATTAAATAAAGCAGTATCAATCTTCTTTTTTTTTTGGATACCTTTTTTCTGTTAGCTTTGGGCCTTCCCTTGCAATTACAGTTCATCATACATAGAAAGTACTTGACAGTCTATCAATTTTCAACCAGAATCCTCTATTACTTTTCACTTGAGTACGTCATTCAAGCTGCTTTAGAATCCAAACACTGACCATTATCACTAAAGAAAAAATATTGTTCCCACTCAAACCTTACATTTTATAACTTTCTTCAACAAATGTTACTATGCTTAAAATTTCTGCTCCTCTCTCATGCCAGTGCTCAATTACCTTAAACACTTGAATATAGTTGCTTGTGCCAGTATGTAAAATGAAAACCACACCTTTCTCAGATTTTCTGGGTATGTTCATATGCATGCAATATTTTTTTTTTAAATATCCACTTGTCTGATTAAATCTTAATTGGGATGGAATTGAACTGCCTTTAATTAAGATTGTTCAAATATAATGGGACTGGCACTTAGGGGGGTTGCAGACTGCCAGAAATAGTGTGAATTCAGTCCACTTTTAGGGTTAGGGTTAGAGTTAGGGAACCATGGGAACTGTATTTTATTGTGGCACCAGAGTTGTCTGACAGAGAAGGCTCAACGTCTCAGGAAAATAACAGTTCCCATGATTCCCTAGCACTAACCCTAACCCTAAAAGTGGACTGAATTCACACTATTTCTGGCAGTCTGCAACCCCCCTTAGTTTCCTAGAATTCTGTTGAATTAAAGGGTTTTTTATTATGATGAATACAGTTGTAGTGGATTCCTATCTACTATGTCTTGCTGTCATTGTGGTTATTCACACTACATTATAACCCGTGTTGCAAACCAGTTTAAAATGGGGTCATTCGCACATGAATCAGTTTGCAAATTAGTTTAAACATGAGTCATTCACACTGGAATCAGGTTTTTCCAGCCTAAATTGGGGTGGACCCATATCAAATTCCCCTTAACCCGGGATTTTGGAAATGACTTTTCCTCTGTGTTTTTTGCAAAACACCAGTTTTTTTCAGAGTGCCACCAATGTGGATTTGCTCCTGATCAGATTCAGGGCTTCCTGAAGGGAGGGATCAATGGGCAGAGGGGCTGAAGATGCCTATCCCATCTACAGAGTGGCAAGTGCCATTTTTGTGCTCGTGTTTAGTTGCCGGCTCTGAGTGTTTTCAAATTTCCTGCTGGTGTGCCCTTTAAACAACTGTTCAGCTGTTTTCCTTTTCTGCTCTTTTTTCCCTATGATGCCATTGCCAGATGTTTGGACCACCAAAGCTGGGGAAGGGGACTCTTCTGGGAACATGTTTTTTTTAAAAAAAATTGACAGTGTGCGATCTGTTGCATTTGTATGGCTTCCACATGTGTGTGGGGGGGGGGGGTTGCATGTGATTCATTCTGTTTTTGTGTTCCCCAATGATGCCATTGAAGGAGGAGTGGGTGGGTAGAGGAAGGGATGGGGGAAAGAGGAAGGAGGAAAAAAGAGGGAAAGGGGAAAGAAGGGGTGGATGGAGGAGCCTCCACCAGCCAGCCTTGGCGCCCCCCCCCCCCATCCCTGCCAGGGTTTGGAGATCTGATGCTCCCACTCCTGCCAGCTCTGTGGGGCAAATGCATGTTTCTCAGTCAGGACCCCAAAGGGAAGACATTTGGACATTTTTTCTGGACAGGAGGATGAAATGGAGGACATGTTCTAGGATGCTCTGGTCACCCCTGTCCTCATCCCAGGATGACCAGATAGATGTCATCCCCGCTGGGAGGGAGGGGGATGAGGCACCGCAAAATGGAGGATGTACAAGGGAAATGGAGGACATGTCCCAATAAAAGCTCATATAAATATAGAATGCATGCTTCTTAGTTCTGCTCAAAATGGAGGACATTTTGGACATTGTTCCTAGGCAGAAGGTGAAAATGGAGGACATGTCCTTTGAGTGTTAATTCCTCCCTCCCCCGGATACAAAGCAATGTCACCAACACAACAAAGGAAGTGAGGTGGCATAGATGTGCACCATTTGATTGACAGAACAAAATAAATGCCTGAAAATGATCAAATGAGATTGATAGGGAGGATCCATTTTGAATCAGTACTTTCATTAGTGTGAACTTGCAGAGGGTTATATTGTACCAGATAGATTCAATTGGGGTAAACATAGTGTGAACTTCACATCGGGTCAGATTCAGTATTGCATAAACGAATGCATTATCAAATCTCCCCAGATTTACCTGATACAAAGCGCTAGTGTGAATGACCCCATTGTTGTTGTGTGCCTTCAAATAGTTTCCAAGTTGTGGCAACCCTAAGGTGAAGCTATCATGGGGTTTTATTGGCAAGTTTCTTCAGAGGGCGTTTGCCATTACTGTTCTCTGAGGTTATATATCTACTCAGAAATAAAACTAGGTACCTGCCCTTGTTTACTGAAGGTAGTCCAGCAGTTGAACGGTTGTCCAGTTTACACTTAAAGATAAAGGACCATCACAAGTGAGGAGAAAGGCCTTGAAATTTGTGTGATGTTAATTGACATCACAACAACAAGGCTTTGACTTATGGCAACCCTATGGATCAGAGACATCCAAGGCAGCTTGTCATCAATGACCCCGCTCAGTATTTATTTCAAAATATTCCGGTGATCCTTAATGATAAACCATTTAATGATTGGAATCGGGAAATTTCAAAATTTATTTGGTTGGGGAAAAAACCAAGGGTGAAACTTAAGCTCTTACAGGATTCAATTGATCGGGGGGGGGGGGGGGGGGGGGGGGGGGGGGTAGGCCTCCCAAATTTAAAAAATTATTACTATGCCTGCTCTCTTTTTTGGCTTACTGATTGGTTTAAATTAACAAATGAAAAAAATCTTAAATTGAAGGTTTTGATAATGTATATGGGTGGCATAGCTATCTATTTTATGAGAAAGTAAAATGTCACCAACATTTTAATGACCACTATATTAGGAGGGCTCTCCTAAGAGTTTGGAGTAAAGTGAAAAACAATTGGCGAGACCTACTCCCATTCTGGACTACAATTGGGGAGGTTGTGGCTAAAGATAATAAATTTGGAAATACTAAATGGATAACCTATAAGGAATTGTTGATTATTAAAGGACCAAATTTAGAAATCAAAATGCAATTGCAATTGAACCAGAGGACTGCAATTATAATTGGTTCTCCTATAGACAATTAAAAGAACGATTTAAATTAGATCAAAAAACTCAGAAGATAGGACAATTCGATCAACAATTTGAGGACATTATTTGGACTAAAGAAAAACATAAAATTTCTAAATTTTATAATATGTTGCAAACAATTGAACTGGAATCCGAAGTTATTAAATCCTCAATGGTTAAGTGGGCCCAGGACTTTTGGAAAAATGTACCGTATTTTTCGGCATATAAGACGCATTTTTTCTTCCCC